AATAGTAATTTTGACCTTTACATAACCTTTGTAGTGTGATCCTTGTAATGATATTTCCCTTTTTCAGTCTTTCAGCTTGTTAAGAGCGAACTGTGATCGCAACTCACTGGCTTTAGTTGGTTACAGTAAGTTGTAAAGTGCTATTATTCTCAACAAGGCAGTAAGGTTGTGAGTTCAATCTTATGGTTAATGTATGTTCTGCACAATTTATAGTTTAGAAACATGTATAATATGCCTTCAGGGATACTTTATATAGATGATTGATTTTTGGGACTGATCAGATCTTAAACATTTCATTATGCTGTAAGTTTATACAGAATATATTTTAGAATTTATTTTAGTTTGTGCAAGGTTCTATAAGCTCTTGAATCTGTTCCTGGAAAAATGAGTAGTAAGCAATGAATGTGAAGTTTCTCACACAGGAAATAACTGCCTGCCCTTGATGGGGTTTGAACCCTTTCAGCCAGCAAATCTTAGATTACAAATCTGATGCATTAACCATTTGGTCACACTGCCCCTAATTATACTGTTGAATTTTAGTCACATGACTAAAATTATGTTAAAAAATTAGTCACATGACTAAAATTATGTCAAACAGTTAGTCACATGACTAAAATTATATCAAATAGTTAGTCACATGGCTAAAATTATGTCAAAAAAAATAGTCACATGTCTAAAATTATGTCAAAAAGTTAGTCACATGACTAAAAATTATGTCAAATAGTTTGTCACATGACTAAAATTATGTCAAATAGTTAGTCACATGACTAAAATTATGTCAAATAGTAGGGGAGCATTATTTGAGCAAAATCAGAGACTAAGTAGATTTATACATTTGAAGCCAATTTTTTTAGGGTTTATGCAAAATAATGTCTCTTATAGTATAACTCTGGTTAAATTTTCAGTTGCTGGTGTTGACTGAATCTACCCATGTGATCAGTGCAGACCAAGATCAGCTGGCACATCTATGTTGTCTTATCATGGTCTGCACTGTATCCTTTTCAGTCAGTTCTTGTTTTTAAAAAAATATTCCCTGAAAAATGATGAATGGTTTTGATTAGATTGAATGACGGACATTTAGTCCATTATTTTATATTTAGCATGGTTAAACAAAGTAATCCCTTGTGTGAAGCAAGTCAAACTGTAGTGGTGGGATTGTTACATCTAGCCTCCAAATAGTTTTAATTGTCAATTAATGAATAAAAGTAGCTGACCACAGTTTCAGCAAAGTGTAATAATTTTCCTGCTATGATTTTTTCTTCTCATGTGTTATATAGGGATAAAATCTTGCAGCTACAATTGAAATCTGAAGTAGCAGCACTTGAAACTTGTATAAATCAAGTGTCAAAAGTTTTTGTTTCTGAACACCTACATCCTTCCTGTGTATAATCATATGAGCCGCGCCATGACAAAACCAACATAGTGCGTTTGCGACCAGCATGGATCCAGACCAGCCTGCGCATCCGCGCAGTCTGATCAGGATCCACGCTGTTCGCTATCAGTTTCTCTACTTGTAATAGAGTTGGTAAGCGAACAGCATGGATCCTGATCAGACTGCGCGGATGCGCAGGCTGGTCTGGATCCATGCTGGTCGCAAACCCATTATGTTGGTTTTGTCGTGACGCGGCTCATATAGGGAAAAATTATGGCAGAAGTAAATATTTACCAAGTATCTACTTGTTGACAATTAACTGTCTTTTTTATTGTATGGTAACTGTCCATAAATAGTCAAAGATTCAATTAAGAAGTGTCTGTAGTTAAAGAAATATTTGTGAGAGATTAATTTTAACAAAATTGTGGACGTTAATAACAATGTAAAGAAAATGGAACTTACAGATTTTTACACCAGCTAAATTTGTCTGGAATGAGGCATAATCATAGACATAGATCTACATGAAAATCCACAAAAATAGGTCTTAAATAAAATAAATTATTTAAGGAAAACCCATACTTTCCTGCAAAAACTCTATGCCCAATAACTCAACACTGTTAATTACAGTATACAGTAGTTTGTTTAAAATAAAAAACCATGGTTTTCATGATGCTGCTAATAAGTAATGATCAAGTGGTAAACACGTCAGACTAGTAATATAAGGATCACTATACGCCTGGGTTCAAACCCAAATCAGGGGCAAGCCATTCTTTCCTTGAGACTCATTGCTTAGTATTGGTTGGTTCCAGCAACGGATTTGAGAGTGTGTCTATAAGGTATATAATAAGCTTCCTACACAATTGAACTAAAATAAAACTTAAAATGAACCAAAACAAATAAATATAAACCATGATCATAAAGATCAGGAAATATAATTGTTTACTAGACTTTCTTAAAATGGATGGGTAATTTATAGCTTTTCAATTTTCCTTTATAATCTATATCAAACATAATCATGAAGAAGCTAGTTTAAAATTTGTATGTTGCATTATCTAATATTGGCACAGCTTCACAGTTACATCAGTTGTGCAACAAAAATCATGTTTAATGACATTCTCAAGACATTTGAGCTGTGTCATGACAAAACCAACATAATGGGTTTGCAACCAGCATGGATCCAGACCAGCCTGCGCATCCGCCAAGTCTGATCAGGATCCATGCTGTTCGCTTACAACTCTATAACAAGTAGAGAAACTGATAGCGAACTGCATGGATCCTGATCAGACTGCGCGGATGCACAGGCTGGTCTGGATCCATGCTGGTCGCAAACCCATTATGTTGGTTTTGTCGTGACGCAGCTCATTTAACATGTCGCATTTAACTAAGAGGAAGATTTAAATATGGTGTTTATTTTTAACAACATATTTTTGTTATCATCATACTTATAAGGATTTACAGTTTCAAAGTGTGGGTTAAAGGGGGAAAGTGCAGATGTTGTACTTATAGGGAAAAAATAGATATTGACCTGATGACATGTGACATTCTGGCACGCGGCTGTGGCAACCATCGGACTGCGGTATTACATACTTCACATTTTATCATATAACACTTAGTGACGAAATAACCCACTTCTGCAGATTTTGAGAAAAAAAATGTTTTTTTTTTTGTTTTTGTATTTATATTGAAGTACTTGTAAAAGTTTCCTTGAGAAATAGAAGTTGTTATTCTAGCTTTAAGTATAGGAAGTACATCTATTTGGACAGAAGGAATATTTTCCTTATACAATACAGTAGGTGTCTTGATTTATATTCAAAAGGAAATCTTTGGGTTCTTCTAAATATTTCTGATAGAATTTTAATATATATTATTCATGATTATTAATTATAAAACTTTGTTGTGAAATATTAACAGGTATAAAACATTCTAGAATAAAAGGATTTTTTTTCTTTATACAATATGTACAGTGAGTGCACTTTATTATTCTGTAATTCCGAAAGAAATCTTTGGGTTTATCTGAATTTCTTTTTTTATTAATTTCAATATATATTTTTGTTATTTATTAGAAAAATCTTATTTATACAGTAGCAGTTATGAAGAGACATTCATAAATCTATGAAACTTGATATTTTGTTCTTCCATTCAGCATGTAAAGACCAAGGGCTTGGCATTCTTAATTTATGGTAACAGAGCAATTATATCATGTTTTATAGAAACCAGTTGATGGACTGTGTCTCAAATTTATGTTACAGTCTTCTGTTACAAAAACACAGTCTTGCTTTATGAGCTAGTTAAATATTACCCTCATCAGGGGTAAGCTATGTATATTTGCAATTACAGAAATGTTTTCATGTGGTACAGAAATATTTTTGTAAAATACATTAACATTTTTACAGGCTTGTATATTTTGTTCTTGTATAATTCTTTTACTTGATGGAAGAAACATCTGTGTGTGATGTAATGCCGCTTTTTTAGCAGGGGATCTAGGTTGTTCTTGGTTCTGAGATATTGCTGAGATAAACTTCATTACGGCAAATAATACCATTAAGTCATAGTCTCTTTATTTCAGATACATTAAAGTGGAGTAACTATGAATCTAAATGGTAGGTTTGTAAAAAGAACATCTTTTTTCAAGGGACTTTATACTTTTGTATTCAGATATGAATTTCATCAAAATGTTTAAATGGATTATTTTTCAGTGTAGTGTTATTTTTGAGAAGGGTTAATTTTCAGAGTGTGAGAAAACAGGGAGAAAATTACGTGCAGTAATTTGGTTCAGTGTGAAGAAAGTTTTCAAGTGTTGTGAAAATTGGTGCACTTTTAATGCACAGCAGGAGTATTTCTGGATAAAAATACGAAAAAGGGAAAGAAAGTAAAAATTTCATTCATGAATAAATTGTTAGAAAGCAGTGTAGCTCCATATTTTATTGATTGTAAAAGTCTGAAAAGCATGGGCTGGTAAGATGGAATAGACTGGATGTCTGTAAAGGCAAAATAATCACACACTCTGTGGAGTTCTGTGGCTACAGACTTGGGATATATTGAATAATATCTAGGATTTTTATGTCAAAATTGATTCATTGTGCGGAAAAGGGCAATCTATCTTTGTCATGAGTATGCGTATATTTTTTTCTGAAATATTAAATGTTTCATGGACACTATGAAAAAAAAATTGTGATGTGATTAATTTTATTTACATGTATTTAAATTTTTCTGAATGTTTCTTGATTATTTTCACCCTATTTATTGATAGTTTTGTTACTTTAGTGATACAACAAATGTCTTTAATCATTTTTTCTATGTCAATAATTTCTTTAGTAGGAAACCTTTTCTTTGTCTGATTCACATTCAGTTTGGTTTGACTCATTTTTAAATCTTTATTTATTTTCAAAATCCATTAGTTCATTAGCAGACTTGTTCCGTTTATTTACAAAGATAACTCGACAGAGATATTGGTTCATGCTTTGACAAATAGTTTCAATGAGGGTTCATGATTTCTGACATGTAGTTGATACCCAGTGATAAGCAGAATTTTCTTGTCAAACTTTGCAGTTTCCATGGTAACAGAAAAGGCAATTTTTATCTTATCAACCTATCAAGGATATATGATAGGCACCCTACAGCTTCCCAGACACAAATGTGATAACTTCATGCTATGCAACTAAGAAATTTCCAAATTTTTTTCTTTCTTCTGTAGCAGAAAAAAAGGGATTTTTATAGTGAAATCATACATGCAGTGTTTTTTGGTGGTTTGTTTTTTTATGGAATATTTATGAAAAATAAACAAGAAGTTTTATTGTAATGAGATTCTTGGATTTTTTAACATAAAGGTTTGTAATAAATTTGTAACATTTTCTAGTGCTTTTATTGGTATTTAATAGGTGACATAAAAGTGATTTTTTGCAAAGTTTTAGCTGAAATGTTGGAATGTTTTGAACAAGAAAAAATATATGCTTCTCTTCTAAGGTTTATAAGATTGAAGTAGATTTTTGAAAATTATTATATTTAACAATTAATTTTGTATAAGAGACATGTACATGTATTTCAAAATAAATACAGTAGCTCTTTTATTGTTTATATACCGGTACATGTAATTGTATTTTTTGCAAATATTGACAATTTCAATAAAAAAAAAAAAAAATTAGTTTAAGCATTTTCACTATCATTGTACCTAAAATGTTCAAATATTAAATAATGTAGTGTTTAGTTTTAAACTATAAAATATACAACGAATTTTGGCACAGACTATTTTGGTAAGGTTATATTTTTCACTGTTATTATGCCAAAACATTTTCTGTTTGTAGCAGTTTTTTCCTTTCAAAAAGATGATTAAAAATAACATTATTATTATGTCTTGACTCAGTGAAAGATTGACTTGAGCACAAAGTAGGATTATAGAGGTTTTAAAATAAAAAAAAATATCTACAGATTGTTGTGGCATTATAAATTTAGATAGTAGCTAGTATAATAATAATTGTAATAATAATTATTGTTATTATTTATTTGAGTTTCCGTATCAACTTTAACAATGTCAGGTCAGGCGGCTGGCTAGAAGCAGATTTTGTGGTGATTAATACACACCAATGATGCTGAGAGTATCATATATTCAATATAGGTCATGGTTCCTAAAGTGATTAAATAGCAACAGTCAGTATGTTGAAATACTCCATGATTACTAATAGTACTGAGTAATCATACAACAAGCGATATTCTGTGGGTTAAAAGTAGTTCCTCATGGTTGTTAAACATTCAATAATACAAGTGATTAGTACTATAGTGTTAGTACTATAGTCTACTATAGTATAGTAAGTTAGTGTTTATTGTAATGACAGTGGTAACAGCACTTCATTTACTTTCGTCTGGAGAATTTCAAGATGCAACAAAAATTACTGTGATACAGGATAATTATAGTGTAATAAAAAAGAACGATACTGGAGTTTATATTAGATTTTTTTTTCAGATGTTATTGTCAAGTTAATATTATATAAAGAGAAAAATACTGGAAATATTAGGTCTCTCTTTTCAGGGAACATTTGTAAGTTGTTAATGCCAGAGATTAAGATTTGATATTAATGTCATTAAAGAGTTTTATGTAGGTTCTTAGAATTCCCTCAGGGATATAACTTTGTTCTCTTTATAGATCACTTTACTTTTCTTCAAGATTTTGTGAGATATTTTTCTTTGTATTTGATCCCAGCTGTTATAATTATATAGAGAGAATCCTGCAATAAGGAGATAGATTTATTACTCTTTTATGCAGAACTTGATTGAGTTATATATTATATATATTTGTTGATGAGAAAAGTTAATTGGGTAGAGGATCACAAATTTACTGATTTATTTCTTTAATTACAGTACTTTTATACAAATAATGTATTCGTAAATCATCAAAGTAAGATTATCTCTGATATAAAGAAAATTTGTAAGTTGTTATTTATCCATCTGTAAATATTAGACAGAAAGTGCAGTGTTGATTCAGCAGTTTTCAGAAGAAAAAAATATGGTTAACTTTATCTGTTAGTATTGTATTAACCAGGAAATTTATTTTCTCCACAAATGGCCCTCAACTGCTTATACAAAATCAACAGAGTGGCCGAGTAGTCAGACTAGTAACCTAAGGATTGCTGACCACATGTGTTCAATAAGTCATTGTTTCCTTGAGCAAGAAACTTCACATTCATTGCTTAGTACTGGTTGGTTCCAGGGACGGATTCTAGAGTGTTTCAATAAGCTTATAGCTTTCAACACAATCACACTAAAATGAATTTGTATAAACTAAAATCAACTGAATGGATGTTGGGATTTTATAAATGTTTAAGCAATCTCATCATCAAATGTAGCGTATTATATCGCATATTTTGTTATTCGAGTTAGACTCAGAGATGTCCTGCTGCTTTTCGAGTCATACAAATGATATATAAATTGATAGATCTTCCTTACAAATTGACAGAAGAGATGCTGTGAAAAAAATATCATTAGGTACATCATTAATGGGAAAGAAAACTATACAAACATGATTTATTTGTGACAATCCACTGTAATATCATATACTGTAAATGAATTCTCAGTATAGAAATTGTCATAAAATTTGATTGATAGTATAGTATTGTTTTCATGTACAAAACAAGCTTGCATGTACAATGGCTATAAACATGATACCAATTTGTGTCTTCAAGGCAACAACAAAAAAATTCAATTGCCCATTAGGGAGTCCATGACACCATTTGTGTTATTACAAATTCCTATCTAGCAGTTTGTGGGTAGATGACAATGATATGGTGCTGATAGTCATCAATATTTATACCTTATCCAAGCCACATGTTATCTTTTTCATATTCATATTAGCAAGAAATTCGCAAAATCATTATTTTTTTTCTACAAATTAATGGAACAGCGTAATTAATTATGTACATGGTTCTCTATCATTCTAAGAAAGTTTTCATTTGTCAATAATTGATTAGGAAATTGAGAAATTAAGTGCTTGCTGGGATCTGATTTGTCAGATATTAGATTTCAAACTTTCTGTGTTCAATGCAGCTGATATAACACAGTCATCAATTGCTCGTTAAATGAACACCAACTGTATTTTGTTTAAAATTACAGGAAACAGGGGATATTTTAAGCCTTAGACATTAAATAGGAAACAAAAGAAGCAAGTTCACAAGGCAGTAATTTATATTACATTCAAAACTCAATACTTAATTACCAGGGACATAGACTAAGTGCATGTACAAATCTAGCTGGTATATAATCATGACAGCCCAAAAATTTGCAAAATATTTTTGGTTGCTTATATCTCTCTAAATATAATGTCCCTGATATCTCCCAAGGAAACACACAAATTTTTCATAGCATATTACAAATGGATTTACTAAGTTCAAAATTTCCAACAGAAACTAGATATTAGATTTGAAACTTGGGGCATCTGTGGCTGAGTGGTTAATGTCATTGACTTCAAACCACTTGCCCCTCACTGTGATGAACCTATCCAGCTACAAAACTTACAGAATGTCAATGTTTCTACTCGGGTGCTGTTTGTGTCTGAAATAATGCACAGATGGGCACCTTAGGTCTTCCTCCAACAATAAAGCAGGAAAGTCGCCATATGACATCTACTGTGTTTGTGTGACTTAAAATCCAACAAAAAATAAAAAAATAATTTGAAACGCTCTTCTGAAATGAAAATAAACGTTTAATAGTCATTTGGTTTGTTGCTAGAAATCAACAGTATATTGTGTGAAGTGCTGACATGTACTCTAATTATTCAAAGTTATGTATTTTAAGTATTCAAACATATATACATGTGAAATACACTTTTATGTATTTCTAATTGCAGAGATATTGATATTTGAACCATGAGTGAAACAGAGCCAGCTCTAGAACCAGTTCCTGTTACTAAGGATGTGCCACTTGTTAATGGAAGTGGTGATATAGATTCTCCACCCCCTGAACCTGAACTTACAAATGGACTAAACAAACCAGAAATGGAAGTTTCAAATGGTGTAGATGACTCTTGTGTAAATGGTGACAATGTTGCTGATGGTGAACCAGGTCCAGTCAATGGTGACTGTGATGGTCCTGATGACGCAGATTTAATGGGAGAGGATGAATTACCTCCCCCTCCAGAGATTGTGCCAGATTTACCACCACCACCACCACAGGAATGTGACTCACAGGATTTATTAAGTGACAACGATCAGTTTGAATCAAGTGTTGATCCAGTAGTTGAATCAAGTGTTGATCAGATTGAATCAAGTGTTGATCAAGTACCTGAAGATGTTGGTGAAGTGGAATGTGTTGATGAAAATGAGGATTTAATGAATGTAAGTGACTCTGAAACAAATCAGGAGGAAAATATTGAACAAAATGTTGAAGTTCCAAAACAAGAAGAAGTGTCTGAGGAAGAGTTAGTTTCTGATGGTGGATTAAGGGATGAAGTACAAGTTGAAATTCAAAATAATCAAGAAAATGAAGAAGTTGAACAAGGTCAGTTGATAGATTTAGGTGAGCCAGAAATTCCAGCTGCACCTGTAGAACCTTCAGCACCACTTGTTGATTTGTCTGAGCCTGTGGAGCCTGAATTACCACCTGAACCAGAGGTTGAACAAGATGTTGTAGCAGAGCCTAATGAAGAGCCTGTCAGTAATGTTCCAGAACCAGAGCCTGTTGTAGAGGAACAAACTATTTCTGAACCAGTTGAAGAACCAGTTAGTGTGCCAGTGGTGGAACAAGTTGTAGAAGCACCACAAGAACCTGAAAGAGAACCAAGTCCTGTTCCAGAGCCTGCTCCTGTTGTTACTATAGAGCCAGAAGTTCCAGCAGAAGAACCCACTGTTGAGGAACCACAGCAGCCAGAAGAGGAAAGTGTTCCTCAGGTTGCATATTCAGAGCCAGCTATAGTTGTTGACAACAAACCAGCGGAAGAAGAGGCTGAAGTTCCACCACCTCCACCTCCGCCATTAGTAGATGAAACACCACCACCTCCCCCACCACTGGATGAAAACATTCCATTGAGAAGAGTCAGTGGTAGCTCAACTCCAAACAAACAAAGCCCTAGCAAAGAGATTGAATCACCTTTAGCTATTTCTGCACCAATGAATGTTGCTGTGGTCTCACCACAACCTGAACCTGTTGCAGTTGGACAGGAAATAGAACAACAACCAGAACCTGTCACAGTTCCAGTCAAAACTGAGCCTCTTTCACCAACCCCACAGTCACCTCATCCGGTGGCAGTTGTGGCACCACAGGTGGTATCAGAGGAAGTCAGTCCACAGGCAAGTTCTCCTTCAGACAGTCCAACTGGCACATCAGAACAAGCTCCATCAGAGGGTGAGAAACCCGAAGGTGAACCAGTGGTCAGCCCACAGGTATCACAGAAAATTAATAAGAAAAATTTCAAGAATAAGATTAAGTTTGGAGTGGATTTAGTGGAAGCTTCATTGAAGCAATTACATTTTCTTTATAATGTGAATAGAAACCCTGGATTATACGAAGAATGGCTTTTTAAAAAGGCTATTAGAAGGTATGAAGCTTTTTGGCTACCATTAGCTGCGGAACATAAAAAGGAAAGTTTAGCTGCCCCTCTAGATATAGAATGGGTGTGGCATTGTCACATGTTAGCTCCTCTTGCTTATGAAGCAGATAGTAAAAGCATTGCTGGATTAGTTGTTGAACATAAATTAATGAGTGAGAAAGATAGAACTAAATCTTTAGAAAAATCTAGGAAATATTGGACAGCTAAATATCCAAATGAACCATTTGAAATAGATCTTGTTTTTAAAGAAAAGGTGGTGGAAGAAACGCCAGTAGTTGAAGAGCCCAAGCAGGCAGAAGAGAACCCCAGTCAAAATAATGAGCCAAAAGAGCCAGAGAACAAAGGTAACATTTAAACATTGTATACTTGATTATATTAAATTGATGATTGGTAACAAAAAACATAACATAATAATGATGATGAAATTTTGATAAATGGCACCAAAAAATAGAAAGACAAGTGACAATAAGAATTAAACCATGTCTTTGAAAGCTTTAAAGTATAGATAAAAACAAGAATTGTCACTTTTATTCCTTAAATGTTTTGTTTATTGAAAGGGTTCGGATACATGAAATGATTGAAGGGCAAGTGAATGGACTATTCCTGAATATCAGGATTTAGATACTTCTGAAAGCTTTCTACAGCTACATAAAACTGGAAATTCGAAGTTAACATGACCCTTTTTTGTTATATTGAACTTTTGTCCATGCAAGAGTGTTAAAATGGAAGAAATGTGACTTGTTGTACTATATTTTTACAGCTTTTAGTTTCATTGTACCTTTAGGCATTAATCTATGTTTCATTATACTGTAAGGCATTTATCTGACCTTAAATTCTTTAGTTCAGTTGTACTGTTAGGCATTTATCAGAGTTTCATTGTGCTGTTGGGCATTACCGGTAATCTGACCTAAATCCTTTATTTTAATTAAACTATATTTTTGCATTCTTTTGGCATTAATATATCCTTGAATAATGTTTTCAATGATATCATACAGATGCTTGAGCTATAATGACAAACACCTTCATCAGAGAGATTTGACACATCTGCAAACTGAAAACAAGATAATCAATATGCTACAAAAAAGATGCAATCTGTTTTAATTTGAAAATGATTTAAAATTTCTATTATCAGTTTTGATTAATGTTAAAAAAATGATATAACATGCATCAGTGAGTTTGCAAAAAGACTAACATTTGATGAAGAATGAGCCTCGCTAACATTAGCAGCTGATGTATAAGGTCCGGAATAGGGATAGAAAATGAAATATTTGAAATATTGTCCCTGGATAGATTAATTAATGACTTGATAATAATCAATTACATCTTGTGATCTTAAAAAATTAAAATTACAGAATTTTCAGAAATCTTTCATACATTGTCAGTAACATCTCTTTATCAAATAATATAATTTGTAATATTCAAATATTGGCAACGGTACAAAAAAAAAACTGAAAAAAAAAAACTGAAAAAGAAATTTGATTTTATATTTAAGGTAGACCATGGGTAATGCATTACCTCCACTCTGAAGAGTATCCAAATAGGCTAGAATCACTTGCCAACTACATTGAAATTGAAGGGCGTGGGTTCAAACCCTTTCTTTTTTTTCTTTTTAACGTTATTTATGTATTTCTCTGATCCCTTATGGAAGAAAAAAGGGTTTGATTTAAACTATATAATTATTCTAGGTATTTATTTGCTAAATAATGCCAAAATTTATAGCAAATAATTATGATACCAGATATTTTCAAAGTTTATTAAAATAAAAACTACACGGTAAAAGTATTTTATATTTCGCAGGATCAACAAATATACCTTGAAGAAAATTTAGGCAAAATTTGAAAACAGCCCCTCATTAAAGTAAAATTTAGGGATATTTTGAATAAGGCATTTTAGATAGGGAAATGGTAAAATTAGTGTTTAAAGTGGGTGGGGTAGAGTAACATTTTTATACATATTAAGAACATTTTGTTCAGAAACAAACATTTTGCTTGTGTAATTTGTTACCTGAATGTTATTATTTGTTTTTTAACAATGAGCAATAGAAAAACATTTTTTATAATGGTGATATTACAAGTTATTAAGAGTTTCCTCATTTCTGAAAATAAACCCTTCTAATGGCAAAGTCTTAGTTCAGAAATATATCCATAACTCATAAACCACACGGTAAATTTTATTTAAATTTTGCATACAGGTGACCTTGAAGACATATAACTGTCCTATGTTGTCAATTTTACAGTTCCTTATGGTACCCATTTCCCATGGTCTACCTTAAGAGAACCCCTTTTCATTGACAAATGTTTAAAAGAACAAGAACTTAAAACAATATGGAAATTAAAGAAAAATAGTTCCTTGGTATATGTCAGATCAAAATTTAACAAACTTTGGCACCAGTATAGAATCAGGCTAGTCTGAGCCTGACTATGACTGCATAATGTTGGCTGACCAATTTAAAATTATCATCTTGAAACATCAAAAATTGATAAGAGAAATCAAAGTTTTTTGTAATGTAATGTGTATATCATTTTATACTTGTATAGATTAAATTATTACCATTAAAATTAATTTTATTTAATTTCCACATTGAAATGAAAACAATAGCCTGTAGAATGTCAAAAAAATGTTTCTCCCTTACATTGCTGGACAAAACTTAAAAAAACAAGCAACATTAATCATATTAACGGTAGATTTCAAAATAAATAATTATAATGACTGAATAGTGAACAGTGCAGACCATGTTCAAAAGGCACAGATCTGGATGTTTGATCTTAGTTTGCACTGGTTACGGAGAAGTTTCCTTAGCCTATAGCAGGCTTAGGGTTTAAATGGTCACACTTTTGTCACTGGCCCATGAAATGACAATGACATGTAGAATATTTCAAGCGCTGTCAACTTATCATGCTATTTCATTGAGACATTATACATTAAATAGGTCTAGAAAAGCAAACACGCTCACATTATAATATTTCTGGATTAAGTTTAATTTTAATCTAATTGAAATATAACAACCAATTCATCTAGAATTCATTTATCAAAAGATGTTATTCAGCCAACAACTTGTAAAAAAATTCAGCTTAAAGCTAATATTGAAAATGTTGAAGAGTTGAAATTATGTCAAGAAATGAGTCGATGTCCTGATGACTTTGAATTTTTATGCAAGTCCCATAATCTTTGGCTTACCTAAGTTCTACTGTGCATGTGTTATAATGATAATAATTATATAAATAGCACAGAGAAATCATTACAATCTATTTTTAGAAGCAAATGTTGAGGTTGCTAAAGAAGGTGAAGTTAAAGAAGGAGCAGAAGACAAACCAGCTGAAGGCACAGAAGGAGAAACTGCACCAGCGGAGACAAACCCTCCCACAGGTAAACAAAATATTCGTGATAATAACACAAGATATTATCTCATTAAGTTGGAACAATAGATATTCTAAGATTTTGGCAAACTGTTTAGTTTATATTGTTAAATACATTGCTCTCATGTTATTGTTTTCTTTGTTCATCAAGCTATATATAACTATATTGGTACAAACAAATACTGCACATATGTCACATCCATTTAGTCAATTATTTCATAGCATTCCAGAAAACCAGACAAAACAAGTATGATGCAGTCACTACTATGTTAGTTTCTGTGCCAGTTACAATACTATCAGCTCTGTTCTCTTTTAGTTATTTTGTAGCATTTCGATCTAAGGTAGCATTTTAATCTAAGTGACTTTCATATAAAACTGCAGTCTTATTGCTACCATTCCAAGGTCATTGCATAATAGTTAAATTTAAACACATTATTGAAGCAATCTGTACACAATATACATGGTTTTCAATTTAACATCAATTTACATGTTAAAATTGTGAAACTAAGCAAAATTGACACAGGCTGTTTGTTTATGCATGCTCATTATCAGCCGTAGTGAATTGAAGCTGCCACCCAGGACTTCATCTTTATTAGTGTGGTCAAATTTTTCCATTTTGTTCAGATTGTATGACAATCTTCAAACAGATGATATGGTCTTTCTGCAGTATAATAATCTTAAAGCGGATGATATGGTCTCTGTTCGGGTCATAGCAGTCCAGACACACATATACAAGTTGACCTATGTCTTAATGCAAGGGATCAATGACATCCTGTATAAAATGGAGCATTGTCATTGACACTTTTTAGCATAGAAATAATAGTTTTCAATATGATTGACATACTTTTATGTCAAGACTGTTTATGATCTTACTTGTCTATTTTTGAAACCTCTCATTAGGAAGTTCTGATACACAAGCTTAATCATCTTTCCAAAACATGCAATATGTTACACTGTCCATGACTTGTGTAAATATGTGGCTTTGCTTTTGCTGCTTAACATTAAAAAATTTCAGACCTAATTCTTAGTACATGTACAAGTATTTTTGGAACTTAATTTTACCAGGAAACAATCATTCTCTGACAGGAAAAGATACTTTGAGATCTACCTTTTCCATAGATGTTATATTTTATATTACATTATCTCTTTCCATCATTTAAGATACTTTACATATTAAAAATATTTAGATTCAAGGCTAAATTAAAAATAAAATCTAGAATTTCTTATTTTTTTCATTATATTTCATGTGGAATTTAATTCTATAGATATGGTGGATAGATATTGTTACTTCAGTATGAAACTGAAGTTTTCCTTGTTTAATGAATATCTATGATATTATCTTGCTCTGTGGTGTAAATAGATTAACTTGACTGGTACAATCTGCAATATAATCAGTGGTGTGCATTTTCACCGGTGTTGGGCGAGATCCAGAAAATTGCTGTAGGTCTCTGCACCATGCACCACCCAGGACTTATTAACATTACATTGTGAATCTGGTAACTGTCAATACCACCTTGCTATATTGTTGCCAAGTAAATTTGAGGACTTTTTAATTGCCTCAATTGTAGTGTTCACTGCTTGTATTGTATGTTTTATTAGATTATTTTTTTCTTCTCAAGATAAACCTTAAACCTTTATTGTGTATGTTCATGATCATTTCTGTAAGCATGGAAGGGCCTGTTTTTGAAGTTTTACTGTGCAGAATTTGAAGACAATTGCGCATTTGATCAGGTTCATTTGGGTGCTTTGAATTTAGTGCCTAATTACACTTCACCTCAGTATGTTTTGGAAATCTTATTTGTGATTTTGAATGCTATTTCTGAGAAAATCTGACTTTTTGTTTAGAGATCATGCTAAAATAATACATGTCTTGTAGCTAATGCTATGTCAAACAGGACATATCAAGCTAATTCCATGCTTTTAAAAAACTTTATTCATATTATAACATTTTCAAAAGTCAATGAAAATTTGATTTTACAAAAGTTACATAAAATGTTACGTTGATTTTAGCATATAAATTTTTTCTAAGAATGTGTATGTTTTTACATTTTACATACTGTGTGTAAAATAAGATAAAGTTTGATGTATGTCTATATTATAGAAACACCAGCTGAAACAACATCAGCTGCTCCAGAACCAGCACCGGCACCCACCCCTGAACCAGAGGTGCAAGCTGTTCCCGAGGAGGGTTATGAGCAGAAGTCATCTTACAACATTTTCGATGCCATCGCCCGTCAGCGAGTATTTTTCTATCAGGTATCATTACCACACTTCCACGACAAGCATTTCTTGAAGTCTGCGCAGAAGCGGTACCAAAGATTCTTATTTTTGAAACATCAGAACCCAACGGAGGTCATCGTGCCATGTTACGACATCGATGTCATGTGGCACTCTCATCAGCTTCATCCATCTGTGTATAAACACGACACAGTTAAAGTACTAGGACAGATTCTTAAACATGATGACTCTGTAAACGACCGATCATCTGGGTCACTTTTAATGAAAGCCAATCAGAAAACACGAGACTTATGGAAGGATCATTTCGGAGACAGCTTTACGACTTTTGGAGCCATGTTTAGAGGCGACCCACCAGTATTGTGTGAACGTATGTCGATGATTGCACTAGAGGAAACATACGCTTTCAGCACGAAGAAAGCCACGGTTAACCTTGATAAAGTTCAAGTTGAAGGACTACCAGAAGAAGTGAATAAATACAGTGTTAAATTAGCATACGGTGGTTATGACGACCAAGAAGGGCCACTTATTAAACAATTTAAAGGTAATAAAAAGAAAATAGAATTTGAAAACACAAAGAAAGGATTAGCTCATTTTGTGTTTGATACTAAGGAATATGACAGATTGAAAATCAACATGTCACAACAAATAGGATTTGCCTGTACTGGACATAATGAGGAGATTGGTGCCCAGATTTTAAGTATGATGCCCGTAGTTGAAAACATACCGATGGACAAGTCCGACCCATCTTCGCTTACTGAAACAGTGAAAATAGATATAGACGAGGAACAAAATATGAGCGCAACATTCTCAGCTACCATAGAGCAGCCAAAACAAGGTCCAACCATGTTGTATATGAACCCTGGAAACTATGAGTCCCGGTTCTGCATCATGCCGGAACAGATTGTACAGATGTGGGGACCTATCCCGTTGCCACGGTTACCATCTGGCAGAGACAATCACTGCATTGTAGCATCACACAAGTAAGTTTTCTTGATAAGTATCATAATCAGTTCTCTCATTTGATTTATCATAAAAAAGTTGATTTAATAAAATGGTGTTAATTAAGGATGGATGAAAATTTGGCATTAACCCGATAACACTCCATTCCAATTGAAAATATAAAGTTTATTTATTTTCAATCATGAAATCAACACACCAGTTGGAGGGCTATGGCAAGGTAACAAAAGGTGACATAATTAAATTTTGTAGTTTTGAAAATATAAAGAAGAATGTTCTGTTCTGCTGCCAAGTAAATTAATAATGTAAAACATCTGCTGCTGGATTTTTTATTTTTTTTGTGAGATTTTTTATCGACTTCCTCTGAGTCATAATCGCAAGGATTTTTCTCCTCAAAATTCCAACTACCTCTGTTATTCAGAAAGTTTAATAATGATTTAAAAATGTTTCTGTAATCATCTATAAATATATGTATCGGAGGCCATAAATTGCCATATATAATATGTGAATCTAATTAAACCAGTCTGACCTCATTTTCCTAGTGTCTGATTGGTTGATTCAAAAAACAATGCTGAGAAATTGACCAATGGTAGAGATGCATTTATAGACTGGTTTTTGATGATCAAATTGTTTAAAAAATCTCCATCCCTCCTGGGGAGGAATTAAAATATTTTTGCTTTTGTTAAAACTTTTTTTACACACAGTGCATGTCTTATTTCCTGGGTTTCATTATAAAATCATGACTAATATTTGATTTAAACATGAAAGGAAAACATCGAAGTATGATTTTTTTTTATAAAACATTGAGATGCTTGTTTTGATTTATCTCTGCAGATATGAAATGCATGATGTTATTTTCATGAATGATAATAATGTCTTGGAGTTCTTTGATCTTGTACAAGTACTAATTTGCAGATAAATGTAAATGTTATATGGAACATATCATGCTGATATCTAGTGACTCACTTTATTGTCAGATTCTAATGTTTTGTATCAAGCTTTTCCATTTGTTTGTTGGATCAAAACACATGGTTGCCATTTTCATGTTTTACTTCTAGAACATGACTTGTTCTCTTTTTTAGAAATCATTGAATTTTTTTTTATATCTTTTTACTTTTTGATTTGTGTTTCATAGCAAATTCACCACTCAGCGTAATAATGGCATAACATCATCAGATACCCACAGCTGATTAACATGTAACATGATAAATGTCACTGGTTCTGCCATGGGTATCCCATGATGATTGCTTAAGTTATATGAAAAGGGCTTGGTGTGGGGGAGGGGAGCAGACCAAGAAATCAGCCCTCCAAAATCTTGTGTCACTTCAAACATGTATTGATAAGTACAACTAACTATGAGTACTAAATTAGCAGTAGTCCAGCAAGACAACAACTCTTACCAGATTAACATGGTATAATTTTCATTAATGCTTACTTGCTTTCATGTTAAGGAATGAAAATTTGAAGTTTCTATATGAAGTACTACTTTGAACTGTTTGCCGAGTGGTTAAGGTCGTTCAAACTTCAAACCACTTACCCCTCACCGCTGTGGGTTCGAATTCTGTTGGGGACTTTGGATTCTTACATGCGAGGAAGCTATACAGCTAGCTTACGGAATGTAGGTGGTTTAAGTCAGGTGCTCCTTCATGCCTGAAATAATGCACGGAAGGGCACCTGAGGTTTTCTTCCACCAGTAAATCTGGAATGTCGCCATATGACCTGTACTGTGTCAGTGTGACATAAAACCCAATCAAACTAACAAACAAAGTACCATTTAAATACCTTCATTCACAACTCCTAATTTTATAAATCAAATACATATTTCTGTTATCACACTGACAGGATGAGTTTGAGATAATACATGTATTCTTTTTTCAAAGCAAGATACTGCTTACATGAAATCAGAAGATGAAACAAACATTTGTTACTGGGAATGAATATCAAACAGTTAAAAGTGCATTTATACTGCACAATATTTCATTCACCTAGCAGGTTAATAACATTGAGTGGTTTTAATGTGTTTTTCATTACCTTTCATATGGAGAAATGAGTAAATTCCATTAAGAAATAAGAGGAACGTTTTTTATGTAATTAGAATAATGACTGAAGTCAGTTTTTGCCTCTAAGTATACTTGATTCCGTTTATCAGATTGCAGAATTCCTGAGAAAAAAATAGGTTTCAAAGTTTATTTTTGAGAGCTTAAATGTGCAGCTTTGAATATAAACTGCACACTCTTGGTGTGTGATGTTCAGTAAGTCTCTCGGATTAATGGAAGGAAATTTGTCAGAAGTTCCTTTGTGAGGATAATGATAATGAATAAATTATGAAATTATTAGTTCAAGGTCAAAATTGATAAAGAGTGGCAGGCACATCCACTTTATATCTTTAATCTCCATGTGTATTGAAATGCTGAAATTCAGCTTTCATGAATTTTAACAGATAATTTATTTAGAAGGAGACAGGTTCATTTGAAATCATTTTAAAATGCTTTTTAGATATTTTCATTATAGGGGGGGGGGGGATCTGGAAAAATTCAAAATTCATATTTTTTGCTAAGAATTAAAATTAATTAAAATTTAAATTAAAAAAAAATCATTCTTTTTGTCCACAGATGGCAATAGCATGTACAGTGGAACCTGTCTAATCCGAACTCGTCTGGACCAGAAGAAAAGTTCGGATTAGAAAGGTTTCCGGATTAGAAAGGTTTCCGAATTAGAAGGTTCTTTTACATGTTTTTTCATGTTACATGTATTTGCAAAATAGTTTAGGGAAAGAAAACGGGAATGCATTTGAAATTGCATTTAGATATTTTATTTTTGCAGTCTCTTATCGTTCATTCTAATACATGAGAATACAAAAATAAAGAAATGAAAATAAATAAATAAGCAAAAAAATATTATGTCCTCAAGGGTAAGTTAACCTACGATGTAAAACAGGAGGCGGAGACATGATTAAATATTCGTACCAGCATTTGTCAATTGTTGTTTACTCTTATCCGATTCAGCGATTATCCGAATTCACTGACAGTCTCTATTAATTTTTATTGCTTAATCACGTATCATTGAATTCATTACAAAGGATTAAAAGATATTTTTATTGCATTATATCAAAATATTTATTGAAGGTGACGAAAAACAATCAATTAAGCAAAAGATATGAAGGCAAGCTAAGTGTAATTTTCACACCTTCCCAGATCAAACGTTTCACCCATAATCAAGTGAAATAACACATCAGTTTGGTGTATGTTTACACCTGCAAGATGTGCGACTATTTGTTATTTTTAAAGAGGGTGTGACATTTGGCAAAATCTGTTCGGATCCGAGAGGTAAATTTTAGAGTAAAATAAGAACAAAAATTGAAAAAATCATCCGGAATTCGGAGTAGACAGGTTCCGGATCGGAAAGGTTTTTTACTATTGAAAATAGAACAAATAAAATCGGGACCGGACACTTCGTTCGGATAAGAAAGGATTCCGGATTAGAAGGGTTCGGATTAGCAAGGCTCCACTGTATAGTGGTACATTTAGCTAAGTTTTAACTTTAAGTTTGTGGTGGAGTGGGTATAAGGTTGATCACTTCAAACCTCTTACTCTTCATCGCTTTGAGGTACGCAGGATTCTTTCATGTAAAGCAAATATCCAGCTAGCTTACAAAATGTTTGTGGTTCTACTCACTGTCAGGTGCCTGAGTTTGTGTCTGAAATAATTCAGGGAGAGGCACCCAAGGTCTGCCTTCACCAGTAGAGCTGGAAAGTCACCAAATGACCTTTACTGTGTTGGTCCAACAAAATAAGAAAGAAAAGAAAGAAAAGAAAATAACATTAATCAAGATAAATATAAATTTGTGGGTCAAAAGAACTTCTATAATTTTGTAACTCTTTGTCAGATTTAAAGTGTTAGAGATAAAAATCCTCAGAGCCAAGAAAAACAACTTCCATGTCATCATTGAAACATATTTTGGTATTTAGGTACAATCCAAGAGCTTTGCATAACTCATTTAATTTAACATCATAAAACAAATTTTCTTAATGTTTTCCCAGCAGTGTGATTCTTCATGATTCTACCCTTAGTGCATGCCATTCTAAATTAGAGTGAGTTTCAAAAAACGAAACACACAAAAAAAATGAAGATATTTAAATATTGTGCTCCTACCTACATATTGCAACATTTTTCTTTTCCATTTGGCTGTGGCCTTGAGGTTAAGAAATATTTCCCACATTTACAGAAATAATATGTTCCAGATGTGAGGCACAGATTGAGTTTAAATCAACTTGACAAATTCTGCTATGCTTAGACTCTTACAGATGAGTTTTGATGGTTGGCAATATTTCTCATGACAGTTTGTGGTTTTCTTTGTTTTGAGAAGGGATGTCTTGTCATTAAAGACATGTTTCTTCTGTTGTAAGTTATTTGAATTTCTGTGAGAGAGAACACTTAATGTGCTTTAATGTATTTAAGGGTCTACTTCTTTACTCCAGGCATTCTTTGTTAAACAGAGTTTTGGATATTATCTCCAAAATCAGGAGCGATAATCTAATATACAGAATTGCTGTAGTTCTTTTACTTAAAACCAGATATTTAGATCCATATGGTAATAAATTGGATTCTTATCATTCTATACTCAGTTAATTTCAAACTAAAGGTAGAAAAATCCTGTTTATTTCAAACTAAAGGTAGAAAAATCAAAATTTGATATCTTAATCCAATGAGTCTAAAAATGTATCAAGCAGCACCAGTTTGCCTCAGGTGCTTGTTGGGCTTGGTTAGTATATTGACAGGTGGACAAACAGCAGAACATGATTCTGACACTAAGAATGCTACTGATAAGCTGCAAGCTAACATAGATAAATGGCATGATGAAAAGCTTATCTCATTTATCTAATTCGGTAATTCATGGCAAATCTGCTGCTACAATACAGTGCAACTTTTGAATCAGGAACTACTAGAATCAGGCATACTCAGTGACCTTTCTTCAGTTCATCATGCCCTCAAATATATTATGTTATCTCTACAACCTCTTAAAC